GGGTTTTTTTTTTAAAATGTTTTTTTCCCCCCTCGCCCCCCCCCCCCCCCCCGGGCAAATTTATTTCAAGGAGGATCTGGCTGTGTTATTTGTCTGAACAATTCGAAATCGTGTTTATTAGTGTGTGTCTTGTTTTGTTTTTTAGTAATCGTTGGAGGTCCCTTGGAAAACCAATACAGGCTAAAGCAGTTCCACTTCCATTGGGGAGCTATAAACGAGTGGGGTTCAGAGCACACAGTTGACAGTAAATTTTACCCTGCGGAGGTATGAGATAAAATGCTGAACAGTGCAAATACTTGTGGGGACTGGAGGCTAAGTCTCAGGCTGTCTGTGACTATACTGCATGCTAGAAAACTCCCAATTTGAAGAATTGCAGTTTGCTGTTAAGGATCAGACCTGGTAGGTGCCACAGCTCATCTGCTGTTTTATTAGTTAAGTTCATATTCACTGTGGTTTTTAGAGAAGAACACAGTCTTAAAATTGAACATTGGCCCCATTAGTGAAAGTTTCAGTAATGTTTTCTTCTCCCTGAATGTTCCTAGGGGTAGCTGCCAGACAAGCCAATGGCAGGCAGCAAAGTATCATTGGTATTCCAGCTCTGTCTGGATGGAGTGGCACAACTCTGCTTGCCCTTCCTTCTTTTAAAGGGGAGAAGGATGAGACAGAAAGCAGACTGAGGGCATAATCAGGTCTTAATGAACTCCCAGGTCCCAGCTAATGTGGTGCAGATCAGGTGGACAGCAAATACTGAGGTAAATGTGCAAGCTCAGATCTCAATTGAAAAAAAAAATTAAGTGCCTTACCTGTGAGCTACAGCAAACTAAGAGTTCACATGAGGTGTACAATCTGTTTTCTTGGGAGTATGGCACATGTACTGCATCTCAGCTGATGTCTCTAGTGGACCTCCAAATCTCCCAATCCTTGCTGCTTTAAAATCACTTTGTTTATTGTGACTAAGTGCTTGCAGAGAAACAAAGCACATACTAAATACTATTTAAAGAAATATTTAAAGAGAAAATGGAAGATTATTTAATTCTCACAGCTGTACCTGTAACTCAAGAATCCTGCTTACCTTGTATATAATAACTGTCTTGTGTATGTGACCCCAGTGCCTTGGCTAACATTAGAATGTTTATTCCAGTTACCAACAATTTTTTGTGCGTTTCTTAAGTCGTTAGAATAATGTATAGCAGAGTTCTATGGTAATATAGTGGTTATCATGATCACTTTATTTTCTGTTTTCAACTCTTAAGCAATTATTAAAGCAGCAAAACTTTTGTGATTAAGTAACTACTAAGGCAGAGTCAATAAAAAGGATGGAGCCAGTGGGGAGAAATATAGGTTAAATTGCTCAGAGAGGAAAGTATGACAGGTATAAACACAGTTATATGCCAAAGATGGAGAATTTGAAAAATTATTATAGCTTATTTTTTAGAAGATGTTTATCTCCTGTTAATGTGTTCATAATGGTGCCTGTCAGTTTGGCAAGATACTTGTTAACAGCAAGACTGTACGACTAAGTTTTGGGGCTGGTGCTGGCTATCTATTTAATACACAAAACCCCTCAATGGAATGCTTGTATTGGACTGTAAGGAATGCAGAGGAAGCTTATGTTATGTGCAGGAGAATGTTCCTTAGCAGAATAGCATGCTCTGTTCTTCCTGTTAAGAGATGGAAGAGCCCTTCAGTTCCAGGTATACTAAGCTTTTTTTGTGCCTTTAACTAGCATTCCTATAATCAGTCTTCCACAGGCAAAATCCCTTTCATATGTGTGAAATGCAGTTTATGGGTCTTTGGCTATTGTTTAAAAAAAGGCAAAAAAGCGCAGAGAATTACCATTATTTTCCAGTAACATTTTGGTCCCCATTTTTGTGGTGTGTGTGATTTCTGAGGTAGCTCACTGCAGTGTCTCAAATTGTCAAGGACCAAATGTAGCAAAGATCAAAAGTCAAGTTTCTTGATATCATTGCTGTGCTCTGTGCATGCGTTGATTTCGCATTCATTTATATTTCAGTTGCATTTAGTACACTGGAATGCTGTTGTGTACCCAACTTTTGAAGAAGCTGTAATGGAAGGTAACGGCTTGGCTGTTATTGGAGTGTTTTTAAAGGTAATTTCACTTTGTGTAATAAGCTGTAATGATGCCTTTCTATTTTAATTTTGTAAAAACTTATTTGGGACAAAATAGCTCTAGATTTTTGTTGTTGTTGTTGTTTTCAAAAAATACTGATTAAGGTAGATAGGCAGAATGTCAGCTTAATGATTCTTTAACTCTGACCGTCTTCTGCAGCTAGGAGCACATCATGAAGGGCTGCAGACACTGGTTGATGCCTTGCCGGCAGTTAAACACAAGGTAAGTATTTTTAAGTGTCCCACCAGTTATCACTCAGCATAGCTAATGCAGTCATTCAACATAAAGATTACTTTGAGAATAGCAAAATACAAATAAATGCTTTCTTCCTTAAATGTGAGTAGGGGGCCTGATTAATCAAGAATTCACCCGAGGTGTCATACTGGAGGTGGGGAGGAAGCTAATTTTTAATGAGGAATTGTATACTTTAAGCTTTCCAAACCTCTTGGTTTAAGAAATGATGCTCTTGAGATTGTATCCCCTTAGAAGGGTAGGCACATGTTTAACGCTTGCCCTCACTGAAGCCTGCCCTTCTGCTTCTATGAAAACAGATACCACTGGATTAGTTTTCGTATGTTGTTTAACTGGAAGGAACTTTCTGTGCTGTGTAAAGTGGTAGGTTATTTCTTGTGGAATTAAGGCTTTCAGATCCTTGAGGAGGAGATTATTGTTTGCCTTTTTTTTTTTAAACACTGTACATTTTCTGCTAGGGGAATGGGACTCTTTCTTCATAGCTGATTTCTGACTTCTGCCAGGAGAGGGAGTGCTGCGTCTCTGACAGTGTTCAGAAGCAGTTCATGCTCCTTCAGGTGCCTGTTCCTTTTTGAAAGTATACACAAAAAATACACATCAGGAATTTCGTGGCTTGTAAGCACATCCAGTTGAAGTTGCTGTGCCATTATTTATCACAGTAAAGTCTTTTTTTATCCAAATAAATACTTATGGCAATGCAGAAAAAATTCTGCCAGATAAATGCCAAATAAGTCAGTTCAGTGCCAAAAAGACCTACAAAAATCTGTGAAGGTACATCCATTATGAGAATATAATATTTTACAGCATATGAATTTGAAAGAAAATAAAGGCAAGGTCTTTAAAAAAAAAAAAGTATTATCAAACATTAGGCTCATCAAGCTACATGTGGGCTGCTCTGAAGGGGATCTCATTTCCAAAGGATGTCGGTCACTCAGCAACTCATCAGCACTTGGTTTAAAACGTTTGAAAACCTTTGTTGCCTTGCCAGCATTATCACTGACTTAAGCACCAAACCCTGAGGAACATCACCCTGGTGAGGAGGAGGAGGAAGGTCAGATAATACCCATTCTGATGTCCTTGCATCTTCCTCTCACATGAAGGGTGAAAGCCCCCATCTAGAATCTTCTGTCCAACCCCCTATTTTTGAAAAATTCTTTACTGTAATATTCCTCATTCTCAGTGGGGAACCGATAAAGCCTATCTAAAGAAAAACAGGATCTTCCTTTCCTGCATTGCCAGTATATCCTGGAAATACCCCATGAGTAGAATGTTTGTGTAGGAGCCTGAGAGCCCATGATTTCCTACATGCTGTCTGGTATCTCACTTGTGGGAGTGCACGTTCTGGAGACATGAGTACCTGATATGATTTAAATAAAACTTTAGTCCTCTTCCCTCTCCCCACTGCCTAAAATCACATGGTGAAAAGTAAAAGCACTATTGTTTGCAGTCTATTTCTGGCAGAACTACCTGAACTTATTCCACCACTTACTCTTTCTTTTTCCTGTTTGCTTCTAGCTCCCACAGAGACGTAGTCAGTTACTCCTTCGCACTCCTTGTTTCTTCTGCACTGAATTCCTAATAGCTTGTGGGGACAACAGAAATACTTACATTTTGCCTACTCACTAGCTGCCTCTTATTCCTCAAACCCAGCTTACCAATTTTGTACAAGTTTATGGGGTTTTAAATTATTATTTTATGTAGATCATTATTAATATTCACAATACCTAATTTTGTATATGCATACATAACTTGTACAGTATTTAATCTCATTGTTAAGATCTTTTCAAATCTTCTGTCATTTTTTTTCTCAAAATATGATTTCTAAAAATATTTTTTTTCTGGGGTTTAGGATGCTGTTATCGAGTTTGATGTCTTTGATCCCTCCTGTTTGATACCTTCATGCCCTGATTATTGGACCTATGCAGGCTCTTTGACGACTCCCCCACTTACTGAATCAGTCACATGGATTATTAAGAAGAAGCCAATAGAAGTTGATGAGAATCAGGTAAATCTCATGCTTACATTTCAAATCATACCATACCTGTTTGACTGCCTGCTGCCATGGAGGGGAAGATGCACAGAAGTAGTTGCTTACCAGTACCAGTAATTCTGTGTGAATACACAAGGAACAGTGGCTGATTCGCACCCAGTATTTGTTTGGGGAGGAATGCTGACATTAATAACAGCTAATATTGAAAGACTTAAGACCTCTTCAGCAAGCAGTTAAAGATGCTTCTCCAGCTCTCCCATAGAGTTTTGTCTTGATCTGTGATAAACAATGCCTTATGCTGGAAGCTGCCCCTTGAAATCTTCTAAAGTTATTTATTGGAACACTGCATAATTTTGCTCTCCTTACCAGGATGCAGCCCTTTTTGTGGTAGGGAGGGAGGAGAAAGGGCAGGTTTTTTGAAATTCCAAAGTCTGACCTTTTGTGCATGTTCTTGATAGTCATGTGCATTTGCACAGAAATCTTGCAGAGTCTGCAAGGGCTAATCCTCTGTTCCTCCCTTGGGTGGACTCTGAAGGTACAGAAGGGTTTGTGGGTGGGTCTGAGTCCTTCACATGCCATTCTGATGGTGAGAGATAGACTGAGTCCCCATTGGGTTTTCTCCTTTGCCTTTGTAGGCATGTTTGCTCTGTATGTGGCTGTGCTGTCCTTGAATTCCTTTTTTTTTTATTCCCCTTTAAAAAGGACAGACAAACAAAGGTTTCAGCAACTGTTTGTATTACAGAAGTTATTTCAAGTGCAGGAGTTCGCTGTCAATAGTCTGTTCTGAGACCAGCCCTAACTTGTCACCGTATGCCCTCTACTGCTTTTAATTTTAGTACTTCATGTTTCAATGTGATGTTATTCCTTAGTATGAAGTAGATGTAGGGACAAGTAGAAAATGGTCAGAAGGAGGACTCATTGGAATTGTACTAGAATTGTGTTTTTTGTTGGAAGTTTTCAGGATTTTTTTGTCTGTTCAGAGAAGTGGAGTACTTTGAGGGGCATTGCAGCATAGAACAAGTCTTGGAGTTTGTTGCAAAGCAAGTAAAAATGAACAACCCCCCAAAATCTACCACTTTTTTGTGGTGTAAGAGGCACGGAAAGTTATCTGTACATTGTCCCTGTTTTTTGAGGCTTCAGTTAATAATGAAGTGTGAGTCCAACAACATGAGGCAAAATACTGAATTTTTTATTTTTTTTCTTTAAATACAACTTCTGCATGGAGCTAGTCCATCTAGAAAGTCATGCTCCAAACAAACACTAATTCTGAAGAATAAGCATGTACGTGATCTTAATGTTTTAGTTTACATAAAGGAACAGGACAGGAAGAACTGAAGATTGTTAACAGAGCAGAGAGAACTGAATGCATAGTGTATCATTCTTCTTCTAAATTGAAACTTTTTTCTTTTTTTTTTTCTTGGCTCTTCTTCACTCTCATTCTTTTATGGCATAAAAAGGCTCATAGTTTACTTAACATTGTAATGCCCTTGTGAGCATTAAAAGCTGATCTGCTGCATACTTTATTTTGATCCCCAGTTATAAACCACTGAGAACAACTATGTAGATAGTTGCTTGTTGAGGTTCCCTCTTTCCTGGGTGCCAGCATATGCACACCTGTATAAGGTAACAGAACTCCAGGAAGGGTGTAAATTAAGAAGGTTGGAGAGGTTTATTTAAAGATGGCATATGTTCCAGTATTTGAATGGGAATCAGTTCTATCTGAGACATGCCACATTTGAGATTTAGTTTGCCTAAAGATGACAGTTGACTGACAATTCATCTTCTGCATTGATATGGACAATGGCGTAATCTTTGCCAGCAGGTGACAAAGAAGTGCCAGAAGTTCGTGCTAAAATTTCTCAGAAAGCAAATGTAATAGTACCTTTGATATATTTTCCAAGCATGAATGATTGTGTTTTGTCGCGAACTCCAATAATTCTCCAGTTAGTAAAGTCACAAAATTGGACATTTCTCATTCTCAGCTGGAGGCATTTCGGATGCTGCTCTTTACTTCAGATGGTGAAGAAGAAAAGAGAATGGTAGACAACTTTCGCCCTCTTCAGCCATTAATGAACCGAACCGTCCGTTCATCCTTCCAAAGCAGGCATCTCTTGAATACTGAAGTACAGCCCAAGGACCATGCTGAGCAGATCAGGCCATAGAGGGCCCATGAAATGTCAGTCCAGACTGCAATACCTGGATATAATTGATGTTAGTTTTAAATTATTTTTCCTTTTTCTGCAGTGTGTATATGCCATACAGTTTCACAGCCAGCCAGTTTCAGTTCTGCTAAGTGCCATTTGACCTTCAGTAGAGAAGCTATGGGGTTTTTTTATTTTGGCTTTTTTTAAGAAGTAAATAATGTTAACCCTTAACAAATTGACTTGCTTTAAAGCAAGGATCAATAGGAATTATTTTGACAGTTAAAGGAAAAATAAGGGCATGAGATCTCTTCCCCTTCCTCTGTTCTGAATTGTTCTGTACCTCTGTGAGTGACTAGCATGAATTAATAATCCTAACTAAAAACATGTTAGCAGGCAGGAAGTGTGAAGAAGCGAAAAGTATTAATAGTGATCAGGTCCTTTTGTGGAATTGTTTCAGAGGTTTGGGAAGAGAACTAGCTTCTCTAGTTCACATATACAGAAACATTTTATCTTCTTCCTTTTTCCTTGGTGCTTAGGATGACGAGGAGAAGGAAAAAAAGACTTACAGAATCTAACTCTTTCCATTCTACTGACTGCGTGATCCATGTTTGATATGGATGCTGCAGAATGTCCACTCTATCTATACCACAAGCCAGAAGACTTTTTCTAAAACGTTATAGCAAATGTGGAAGCTTTTAGTTTTGGCAGCTTTTACTTTTCTGTATTAATAGTGTACCCGGAGAAGAGAGCAGAAGAGAATTCACCAGTATCTCAAGATTGGCAAGAGCAGCAAATTAGGCGAAAATGTCCATTTGATTCCAGGAAACTGATCACATCAAAGGAAAGCAAAATTAGATAAGCCCCAGCTGACCCTCCCTATGGAATTTGGGCAAAACAAAACAAAACAATTTCTGAAACCTAATCCAGTGCTAGGAGAGTATGGACAAAATGCAGCATTCAGATACTTGAAGGATTTTTTCCAGTAACTCACAGAGTGCCAGTGCACTCTCTTCAAAGTTTTGTCTTAAGATGTACTTTTCTTATAAAAAGAGTTATCTAGCTTCAGGACAACTGGGGACCAGTCTATATTGAAAGCACCTTATGGTAACAAAGTTAAGTGGTGGTTGAAATTTATTTGTGGACCAGACAAAATTGTTGTGTAAGCTGCCAGCTGTGGAGCCTTATCGTAGAGTTATGGTCCAATTGCCACAAGTATTATCTACCTCTGAAGCATACTACTATTAGTTATAATTTTCTCTCAAGCACCTTTCTCACTGGCTTTTTATGCTTTACTGTATTTAACAGTGTGCCTGTGCATGAAATTCACGTACCAAATGTATGGTCAGATTTGGAACAGGTCTGTCTCTAAACTCATGATGTGATCTTGATTGGTTGTATTTGATAAGTCTTCTTGGAGAACAGATGCTACTTGGTCTGATTCTGCCAGTAAGCAAAGTCACTGGTTGCTGGTGTGGTTCAGCACAAGTGAAGCCAGGACACTAGCTTTTCAATGCTAAATTCAGTACTTTAGAATCGATACTCTTTTTTTTAAGTCCAAGTGTTCAGTTTAAAAGCACTTTAACACTTTTTAGTGTGACCGTGATGATTTTAAGGCTTTTGAATATTCCTGTTTAACCAGTTAAGTGCCCGGGTCCTGTCTTTGCTTCCTTAATAGCACTACCTCAGGCTGTTGTTATGTTGCAACAGTTGTGCCTTTCTCCAGTGGCAATTTGAAATGTGGCCACTTAACCTTAGAGTGACTCTACATAGTAAATGTAAGAAAATCTCTCTTCTGTCTCAGTCTAGTATACTTATTTTTAGTGTGTAGTATATTCAGCATGGCAGTATATATCTTCAGTTTCATTACCTCTCCAAAGCCCTTACTGCTTGGTTGAACCTTACCATCGTGGTTGAACTCTGTAGAACTATACCATCTATACCAACTTGGTTGAACTATACCATCTCAGATGAACTATACAGTTTTTGGCATCATCAGACAGACTTTTTACTATGTTCCTGGTCTGCAGAATCACATCAGTGATGATTTTGCCAGAGAATGACAGGTTCCAAAATAATTTTGGAAGGTATATCTACAGTTAGCAATAGGAAAAGAATTCTTTTACTTTCTGCCTGAGTGTACATGATCTAGTCGTTGTTAAGCTTGAGGTTTTAGTTCAGTGCTGTTCTTGCAAACGCTTTTCTGAGGAGGACCCCATAGAAAGATGGCAGTGATTCAGAACTGGCATATATCTTGTCTATCTTTGAGATTTTTTGCTACTCGTTATTAGCAGTTAGGAAAAACTGTAACGCAAAGACATCTTAATGTTGCCTTCACATTTAAAAATACAGGTGACTCAGCAGCACTAAGCTAGCTATAGGTAGCCTGCATTGATATCCCTATCATATATGAATGGGTCTTTTAAAAAGCTTAATGCAATTGCTCAAAGTTTTTTAGTTGCCTTGGTAATTTTCACAAAGTTTTTGTGTACCTCTGATCCACTGAGCTTGTTTTGAATTAATACAGCTTTCCTAGCATATGCAAATACAAAATATATGTTTTGTTCTTAGGGAACTGCTGTGGTGTAAATGTTTAATCTTCAGATGCTTCATAATGCTGTAGTATGCTCATACCCAGCTGAGTTCTCAATGGTTAGGTTTGCTCCACTGAAACAAATTTTCTTCCTAGGTGTGTAAATCTCTTTTTAACATGCTCACCACCTTGCATCCATCAGAGGTGATGTCGGATATTCTATTTCCAGTGATCTATTTAAAATTCTCATAGAGATTTACATACTTTGTTAAAGTATTGTCGTGGAAGTTTTGTTAGAGAACAGGTGTATTACCCAGTCCTACAGTTAATAAGCTATACTCCATATATATTTAGATAAAATCATATCTAAGTATACTGACATAAAATTAATCAATTTCAATTTCAGCACTGATAGTTTTAAATATCTGGAAACAGGGTCAACATAGAAAAAATTAACTCTACTGTGCTACAAAAATAAGCTTTAATGGGATTTTCTGTTACAGTTATTTTGCTGCGTTTTGAGTCTTGCATTTATGTGTTGGTGTTTTAGCATCTCTGGTTAAGGTAGGCAGTATCATAGTTGCAGGGCAGATTGTCGTTGAAATTAGCAGTCTGGAAATGAACAGAAAGGTTTTGGGGTTTGGTTTGTTTGGGTTTTTTTAACTTTTATGTTACAATGACTGTATTGGTCTTGCAAAAGTTAATGTCAAGAAAAAGAGTTCTGTGTGCCTGCACACATGTATGTAAGAGAGGCAGTGGGATATAATTCTTTGCCTTATTCTCTCAGTTGCATGCTGGGAAAAATGATTTCACTGTTGGACTAGAGCTAATATTTGTAATGATTTTGCACTACTAAGTTAAACTCTATTTGAAAGGTGTCTGCATGGGAATCTTCAGGCTCTTCTTTTAGATGGCACAATACGAAATGGTCAAAGCACACATTTGTATTTGTCCTTGCATAGTAGTCACTTCCTTTGCTTACTGTACTGGGAAGGCGTTCCTGTGGCAATAAGTACTAGGACTTAAAGGCTGTAATAGAAGTAATCTTGAGGACAGCTTACTGAAAAGGGAGGAGAAGGTTTTTGAGCATAGATAGGCATCTGTGTTGGTCTGACTTCCAACTGCCTTTCAATATTTCTGTTAAATGTCACTCTTATCAGAAGTCTCATTCTTGGTGACTTCATAGTTGGAACAACTTCATTTGGCGTTTGAATGTTTGATCCATATTCCTACATTCCAGAACTTTCCCACCAGTGCACTTCAGGTGTACGCCACCACGAATACCTACCAGTCTTCTGTCATAAATGGCTTGCATTGGTATTTTTACCGCAAGTCTGACAGGAGTGTATCTTCTAGCTTTGAAAGCTATAGAAATGGAGATTGCTTTGATCTCACAAAAATCTACTGGGTTTTAGAGCACTGGAATTCTACATGGCTTACTTTTGAGGAAGGGTCCCTTTTTCTGCTCAACTTCATAATCAATAGTATTTGCTTTAAAATTTGAATGCCTTAATTTTGAATGTCTTGTATTTCTTGGCACATCTTTGCTTTTTTTCTTTGTGCATCTTGTTTTCATGGCAGTTACCGTGTTGTGTATTGTAATGTATGTTATCTGCCTAATCGTAAGTTACTGAAATAATTGTCTTTGCGAGCAACATATGTAACAGGGAATGCCTTTTGTGCTCCTAGGATACAGGCCTTTTTCCTCAGTTTTTACCCGATGTAAGGAAAATTCCAGCTGCTGGATTTTAAACTGTTACATTAGTGTGTGACTATGCAATAAAGAAACACAGAGAAACCTGTGCCTGTATCTCGTTGTGTAATTAAGCTCTCCAAGTTAAAAAGTAGATTTTCTGTCAAGAAAAAAATACAATTCCTCCTTGAGAATGAACCAGTTCATTGTGAGTGGAGTCTAATCAGATGTCAGACGTTCTGTGATACTTAAAAGCTATGAAAGACTCTGCTGGAACTGTATTGTAATTGGAATGAAAGAACAATGACTTCTCTGTTGCCGCAGTACTGATGGAAGGATATCTAATTATTTGTTGCATTCAGCTGGATGCAACATGCCATCTAAAACGGGATTCCAAATTTTGAGGATCTTTGCTGAACTACTTCATTTGATGCTGATCATTAAACTCGACCTGTCAACTAAGCTCCTTTTTCTGTTGTGTAATTGGTCTTGATAAAAGTGAGCGTTGATCTGATGCGTGGTATAACTCTCAAGAGTTTCACATTTAGTGGTTGTGGCTACAAGAATCTTACCCGAAAAAAACTTTGAGTAAAATAAATTACTTTTATTGATAAAAATTGGCTACTCAGGTAAGCTTTAATTCCTCTGTCTCACTGCTTAGCCATGCTTAGAGTCTAGATATCATATAGGTGTGTTATGCTTAGCTGAATTCATCCAATCAAGTTTCCGCTTCTTTTGGCAGGAAAAGTAGGAGATTACATTCCTGGTTAAGGAATTCCCCGTAAAATAACTGTAGACAATACTTTTATATAAGGCTTCCCAAACCGTGCTATTTGGTACCCTTTGTGGTAGGCAAGCCGTTTCAGTATGAAGAAAGAGTGGCATGGGTTAAGAGTGAGGCCAGCTCCACTATTATTACTATTTTAAGAGTTCTAGAAGCTACCACCACT